TTTGGGGTGAGGCTGTTATGACCGCTTGTTGTTTGATTAATCTGACTCCTTCTACTGCATTGAATGGTGACACTTCGCATGAGAGATGGTCGGGTAAATTGAGTATTACTCGAAACTTAGAACTTTTGGCTGTACAGCTTTTTCTCATCAAAGTGAGGGTAAGCTGGAACCTAGAGCTAGGAAGTGTGTCTTTCTAGGATACCCCGATGGTGTTAAGGGTTATAAGTTATGGGATAGAAGCCAAAAAGGGGTTAAGATTATCATAAGTAGGGATGTCACGTTTAACGAGAATGAGATGCTGTGTATTAAAGGGGAAACTGAACTTGAGAGTGAAGCTGAACCAGGTGAAGAGAGAGACCAGTTTAAGATGGAGTTAGGAAAACTCAGTCCACCTGCCCCTACTGCTTCAAATGAGGTGGAGACTCAAGATCAAGAACCTGAGGTGGAGAATAGTAACGAAATAGTGATAGAAGAGCACTATTAGGAAGAAAATCCTTTAGCTAACTATAACTTAGTTAAGGATAAAGAGAGGAGACAAATGAGAGAACCTAGAAGGTTCGGTTTTGAATCTAAATTAGCTTTCGCCCAGGATAGTTATGAAGAACTAGCTGATAAAGAGCCAAAGATCTTTGAAGAGGCAATAGACAGTAATCAATCTAATGAATGACTTAAGGCAATCAAAGAAGAGATGAGTTCTCTAGAAAAGAATCATACTTGGGTGCTAGTACTTAGGCCTAAGAACAAATCAATTGTTGATTGCAAATGGGTCTTTAAGGTTAAAGAAGGTACTAGCAGCTTGGAACCCCTAAGGTTTAAAGCTAGGTTAGTAGTTAAAGGCTATAGACAGAAGGAGGGCATTGATTATAATGAGATTTTCTCACCAGTTGTTAAGTACACCACTATTAGGGTCATGCTCGCATTGGTTGCACATTTTGACTGGGAACTTGAACAACTTGACGCAAAAATTGCTTTTTTACATAGTGAGCTTGATGAACAAATTTTCATGAATCAACCAAAAGATTTTAAGGATAAGTCAAAATCTGATTATGTATGTTTTCTGAGAAGATCCTTGTATGGGTTAAAACAGTCTCCTAGACAGTGGTACAAAAGGTTTGATTCCTTTGAACTCACTATAGGGTTCCAAAGAAGTAAATTTGATCATTGCTTGTATTTTCAACACAATGAGACTGATGATAATTATCGGTTTTTGTTGCTCTATGTGGATGACATGCTTTTGATTAGATCATCCTCTAAGAGGATAAATAACATAAAAACAAAACTAAGTGGTGAATTTGACATGAAAGACCTAGATAAGGCTAAGAGAATCTTAGGTATTGAAATTGAAAGAGATAGGTCAACATCTGTTTTGTTTTTGCATCAGTCTTCATACATATCCAAAGTATTGAAGAAATTTAATATGAGTGATTGCAAACCTGTTACGTTGCCTCTTGCTAATCATTTTGTTTTATCGAAAGAACAATCCCCTTGCAATGAGCGTGAAGTAGAATACATGAGTAGAGTGCCTTACTCTAATGTGATTGGTTCCATAATGTATTTGATGGTTTGCACTAGACCGGATTTAGGTTTTGCTGTTAGTACTCTCAGTAGATATATGGCTAATCCGGGCCCTGAACATTGGGAAGCGCTAAAGTGGTTATTAAAGTACTTGAAGGGTACAAGTGACGTAGGTTTAAAATTTAGTGCTAACAAAGAAGGTATAAAATTAAAGGGTTTTGTAGATGTTGACTACGCGGGAGATAGAGATGGTAGGAAATCCACTTCGTCTTACGTGTTTACCTTATCTAATTCATGTGTTAGTTGGAAATCACAGTTACAACATATTGTTGCACTATCCACTACAGAATCAGAATATATTGCTATCACTGAAGCTATTAAAGAAGCTCTATGGCTCAGAGGCCTTCTTCATGAACTATGTGTCTTGAATGATTATGTGGTAGTGTATTTTGATAGTCAGTCATCTATATATTTATGCAAGAACCCCATTTTTCACGAGCGCACTAAACACATTGATGTTAGACTCTACTTCATTAGAGATATAGTATCTCAAGAGGTGGTAAGACTTGAAAAGATCCACACCCACTACAACTCCTCTGATATGGTGACGAATGTACTGCCATTGGCAAAATTTAGAAGTTGCAATGAACTTCTAAACATTGGTACAGGTAAATGATTTCCAATTTTATCGATTTTCTATTAGAGGTGTTACTAATGGGAGACATTTTCTTTTACAGGTCCTTTAACACCAAGGTGGAGGTTGTTAGGCAATTTGTTGTCAAACGACCCCCAGGGCTATGATGTAACCCCGGTTCTATTATCAATCAGTCTTGGCTATATGATTGATTTGTATGTCGACACAATTATCAAGACAACCCAATTCACATTCCCATGGATCGTTAGAAGCAACTTATTGTTAATAGTGTTGCTCACGGTTCGTCCTATTTCCTTGGAGGGCTATGGTATTAATTTGAAGCCCATTATTTTTGAGTCGAGCCTTGATTGGTCCACTAAATAAACCTAACCTAACTTACCTTGTTTGGTCACTTGCTTGGCTTATATTCTTGGCCTTTCTCTCAGCCTCCATATGAAGAATGCCCAATCTCTCTCTGTGACTTCTCCTCTCGGCTTCTCTCCTTTCATATGACCTTTGTGGTTCTTTTCTTGTGGACATATTATTGTTCTTCATCTTGTCCAACTAGTAGCAACCGGAAGTGAGAACTTGGTGTTGGTGTTTTGGAGTTGTCTCAACCCGTTGGTGGTGTCGACTTATTTGGTGAAACTGAGCCCAGTTGAACTTGGTGTTTGCTGGAATTTGGCCCTACACTAAGGATATATGCCATTGGTTGTTTTACATAATGGCCTTGCAAATTGAGATTCCAATTTTTTTAAGAATTATGTTGCAATCACTTTTCCATTACAAATTATTAGCTAAACTGTCGCGAAAATATGGTTGAAAACTTAACAATGGGCTTGTGCCAAATGATCACTTAATTGTTTCCATGGTATATCCTCATCCCCATTCTCGCCCATCTCGATGGCAATTTCGTCGTCCTTATCACGTAGGTCTACCTCAACTTCCTTGTCGTTAGTTTCCTCCGCTCTATGAAAGCCTTCATTGAGCCATCTGTATCGTCTCAAAAAATTATGAATGCCCATTGTTGTCACAACAACAAGGGTTTGCACTCTAAATAAAATAGCTAGGTATTCGAATGAGTATTTTCCATCTCTGCTTCCAAAAATCGAAAGCCCGCTCAATGATGTTACAACAAGATAAATGATGGAAATTGAATCTCTCGAGGGCATTTCGAAAGCGACATTGACCATCATTGTTGTACTTAAATTCTTGAAAGTGATGCCGTACATCAAATCCCTTTTATGTAGCCATATAGCCCCGTTTATGTGGAAAACTCGAGTCAACTAAATAGAATTTCCCATTTGCTAGTTTTGAAATATTTATATCCTGACTATAAATAGCTCGAACTAAAAATACGACTATAATGCTTGTTTTCGGTAGTACCAAGCAATATAAACATGAAACATTAGTTAAAAACACAAGCTGCCACCACATTTTGAGTCGGAAATCCTTTTCTTCCTTTGAAGTTAATCCTTTTATGCTCTAATAGCACATCATGAACATGCTTGCCATTAACTGCACATCCTGTTACATTATACATGTTAGAATGCACAATTAAATAATCATTAGACTACTTACAAATAATTGGTTATTATTATTTGATGAACAACTAAAACCCTGAAAAAATGAGTAATGTGCGGGATTGGGGTGATGATGTTCTACTCCATGGTTGTAGTCGTGATACAGTTAATCATCTTGACAGCTAACGTAACAATAACTCAAAGTATGTGCTTTAAGTAATGTGAAATGGTCTGCAGGAAATGCCCGAAGTGTATTTGCACCTGACGAAAGCCTTTGCCATGTGATAAAAAGCCCAAGAACATGCCAACTTGTCCCCATTCACGCCCATCTCGACGAATTTCGTCAACCATTTTTTTTTTTCCCTTCCCCTCTAGTGAAGGCAAGGGAAATTTTGTCATTGCACGGTGACAATGGAGGGTGTATATGTCCTTTACACACCAACGGTTCAATAGATTTTTTTGGCTTTTCTGACGTGATATGATTGTGACCAGACGTGGAAACAGTAGTCTCTAGATATTGGGTTGAAAAATGCCGAAAATGTGAATTAACGAGAATTAATGGGGCCAAATGGGATAAATATTTTGCTTACATCTAGAACTTGACAAAGAAATCGAAGATCCCTAACTCAATGAGTGCTTAGTGATCCATTCTTTCTTCATGTTCCCCTTTTCTTTGCTTCCTTTTTTATTTCCCTTCTTCTCTTTCCTTTTTTCTTCCTGTTCCTCGATTCTTCTCTTTTCCCTCCGTGTTCTCTACTCCTCAAGTTGAATGGGAAAATAATTATATATTCATTAGTGAGGCCCTCCACTTTGTCATAGTTTGCAATTTAACCCATACGTTTCATTTTCATTTAAAACTTACAAATTTGTTTCTTTAATTACCAATTAGTCCCAACAAATACCACTAGCTTATAATAGTCCCCGTAAGAATTTTTTTTTTTTTTTTTTTTTAAACTCAAATCTTTATTTGACTTCAACTTTGACCAATTAAATTGTTGATTTTGAATGAATATTTTTGACTTTGACTATGAATAAATGGTTGTAACAATTAGCCCCACCCAAACATGCTCTATCCATCTATACCAGAGACAAATTCTATTTTCAAGAGATCCATAGGTACATGTATCTCTTATTTTGATTGAATTTTCATAGTGTCCCTCATCGTGCTGTGTGTATTTACTGTTATTACAACAATTTTTGATTACACACAAGGTCCGTGGCGGTGGGTGGCTAGTAGATGAATATAAGAGTATACGACAACTAAGTCTCACCTAATAAACTTCTAGAAGTAATTATGTAAAGGATAATTTCATAGAAACGTCCATCAATATAATTAAACCTGAATCTTGTATTTATTTCTCAGAAACATAAGGGATTCATTTATTTATTTTGCCTGTTTATAGCATAAACATATGACATTTTATTTAAGATTTATCTCATATCCAATTACTTTCCAGTACAAATTAGGCTTCCATTAGATCTGTAAAGTTTGCAACCCTTCTTTACTTTGCAACAGTTTGTGCAGCCTGGATGAAGCTTCTTAGGGCCAGATTTTGGGCAAGTCATGTAGCCAACTTTGAGGCAAACTTGTGGGCAAATTTTCCTTTGGGCTTCTGCATATTGCACATTGCTTCCCAAGAAAAACAATCCTGTCATAGAATGAAAAACATAATATAGAAATCAAACCTATTGTTCATCTCGGTCTTCTTTAGTATTGCGTATAAAGCATGATCAAAGAAAATTCCAAGAAAATTCAATAAGCAGTAGTAATAAAATCATGTATATATCATGCTACAACTTAATGGCATAACTTAAAGAATTGCAACAACGCGTCAAAATCCACAAACAAATGAAGAAAAGATTAACTTACCAGTGGAAAAGCTTAATAATTAAAGAAAAAAAAAGCCCAGAAAGAAAATGATCAATAAATTGAACTGCAGGCATGTAAAAATTTGTCTAAAACCTTAATACTTTATATGCACAAGTAACTTCTTCGATGCTTCTCTTTATCAAAACACACAATATTTACAGATGCCTGCTTAACTAAAATCATAAGATCTATATTACAGTATTTTTGGAATATTGTTTCACAATGATAAAACACTTGGCCATTATAGAAGTGTCAAAATTCAGCCAATATAAGTTACAAAAAAGTGCACAGATCAGTAACCATACCGCAGATTAGGAGGAGAGTAAGGATGCTAACTTTGCTATTAGCCATGCTTCCTGAATTATGCTTAGTACTGATTATTTTGAGTTATTTATAGGGTAAAAGTAGTATTATTAGGTGACGACTTTTTCATATATAAAGAGAAAGTCGACGCATGGTCCGTAAGCAAAAACCAATTCAAACTTACAAATACATATTAATTCACAATATTAAAGATTATTAAACTTCATGTGATCTACCTAACCAAGTGTAGAAAAGGATTATTTATTTATTTATTTATTATTATTATTATTATTATTTTTTTTTGATAAAGTGAATTAATTAAGAAAAATACAAGGATTAAAGTCACCCTTTTTTAATTATGAACTGACTCACATTCGGTTAATAAAATATATGTAACAAATGTTAAGAAATATAGAATTATTTATTATTTATTAAGGGTAGAATAGTCCTTTTTAGTTTCCTTTATTTAGCCTATATATATTCTCTTTGTATTTAGGTTAAACTATCTTTTTAGCATTTATTCAATTAATGAAACCTTAGCCTCCTCCTTTTTCTTTTATTTTCTTTGGATTGTTTAACATGGTATCAGAGCCAGATTTCATGGGACAAAACTTAATTTCAAACACAGCTTTCGCGGATCCAAATTTTTTTTTTTGGTATTTCTGCAATCTAGTAAATCTGATATTTCTGCAATCTGTTATTTTTGCAATCTGGTATTTCTGGAATCTGTTATTTTTTTTTATTATGGCTACTGAAAGAGACGATTCTCTTCAGTCTGTGAATGTGAGGTTGGATGGAAAGAATTATTCGTATTGGAGTTACGTGATGAGAAATTTTCTTAAGGGTAAAAAGATGTGGGGATTCATTAGTGGAACTTCTGTGAAACCTGAAAATACCAATGAGGGTTATGCTGCTTTGATAGATGCCTGGGAAACAAACAATTCAAAAATTATTACTTGGATTAACAACTCCGTGGAGCATTCCATAGGTAGAGAGTTGGCGAAATATAAGACAGCAAAGGAGGTTTGGGATCATCTGCAAAGATTATTCACTGAGTCAAATTTTGCAAAGCAGTATCAATTGGAGAATGATATACGAGCTCTTCATCAGAATAATATGAATATTCAGGAATTTTATTCTGCTATGACAGATCTTTGGGATCAATTGGCCCTTACAGAATCGACAGAATTAAAGGCATGTGCTGCCTATATTACTCATAGAGAGCAGCAACGGTTGGTACAATTTTTAACGGCACTTCGCAGGGATTTTGAAGGACTCAGAGGTTCAATTTTGCATCGTTCTCCACTTCCTTCTGTTGACTCAGTTGTCAGTGAGTTATTGGTTGAAGAAATACGTCTTAAGTCTTATGCTGAAAATGGAATTCTTTCAGCTTCTAAGCCTTCTGTATTAGAAGTGTCTTCTAAGCCATCCTCTAATAATCAAAATAAGCCTTAGACAAGGGTTGCATTTGACGAGTGCAGTTTTTGTAAGCATAAAGGTCATTGGAAGGCTCAGTGTCCTAAGTTGAGACAGGTGAATCAATTACAGCAGCAATCTCAAGCTTGGAAGCCTGGCAACCAATCACGATCTAATGCTCATAGACCACCACAATCTAATACTGCAGCAATAGCTTCATCAGTACCTATCACTGATCCTAGTACTTTGGCTGAGCAATTTCAGAAGTTTCTCTCCTTACAACCTCAAGCTATGTCTGCTTCTTCCATAGGTCAGTTGCCTCATAGTTCTTCAGGTATGTCACATTCTGTATGGGTCTTGGATTCTGGTGCTTCACATCATATGTCTCCAAATTCTTCGTCTTTTGCTTTTGTGTCCCCTTCGTCCTCTATTGCTGTCATGACTGCTGATGGCACTCCTATGCCATTAGCAGGTGTTGGTTCTGTTATCACACCTCACTTGTCCCTCCCTAATGTTTATCATGTTCCGAATCTCACATTAAATCTTGCTTTTGTTGGTCAGTTATGTGATTCTGGTAATTTAGTCACATTTTTCTCTTCTTCTTGTTATGTGCAGGATCTGCAGTCTCAGAAGTTGATTGGGACAGGCCGTAGGAAGGGTGGACTATATATTTTGGATGAGCTAAAAGTGCCAGTTGCTACTGCCGCTACTTGTGTTGATTTGTCTTCGTTTCGTTTGAGTCCTTCTTCTAGTTTTTATTTATGGCATTCTCGTCTAGGTCATGTTTCGTCGTCTCGTTTGAGATTTTTAGCTTCTACAGGGGTTTTAGGAAATTTACACCCTTGTGATATTTCTGATTGTAGTAGATGCAAACTGGCAAAATTTTCAGCTTTACCTTTTAATCGAAATATTTCTGTTTCTTCTTCTCCATTTGATTTAATTCATTCTGATATATGACGGCCTTCTCCTGTTGCCACAAAAGGAGGGTCTCGATATTATGTTTCTTTTATTGATGATCACACTCGTTATTGTTGGGTTTATTTAATGAAATATCGTTCTGAATTTTTGGAGATATACTTAGCCTTTCGTGCTCTTGTTAAAACTCAACATTCTGCTATTATAAAATGTTTTAGGTGTGATTTGGGTAGGGAATACACTTCTAATAAATTTTGTGAACTGCTTGCTTTAGATGGAACTATTCACCAAACTTCGTGTACAAATACTCCTGAGCAAAATGGTGTTGCTGAAAGAAAACATAGGCACATTGTTGAAACTGCTCGTTCTCTCTTGTTGTCTGCATCTGTCCCTAGTGTGTTTTGGGGTGAAGCTGTTCTTACTGCTGTAGGTTTGATTAATACAATTCCGTCTTCTCATATTTCAGGGTTTTTTCCTTTCGAAAAGTTGTATGGGTATACCCCTGATTATTCTCTCTTTAGAGTTTTTGGTTGTACTTGTTTCGTTCTTCGTCCTTAGAACGCAACAAGTTGTCCTCTCGATCTGCAATTTGTGTTTTTCTTGGTTATGGTGAAGGTAAAAAGGGGTATCGTTGTTTTGATCCAATAACTCAGAAACTTATGTGTCTCGTCATGTTGTTTTTCTCGAGCATATACCTTTCTTTTCTATTCCATGCACTACTCATAGTCTGACTAGATCTGATCTTATTCGTATAGATCATTTTTCTGACAATCCTGATAGTTTGTCTTCTCAGGAGCCTACTACTTCAAATGTCCATTCTCATGTTCCAACCCCGTTGTCTTTACAACCAACTCGTACTAATCATTCTGCAGGTACTGACACTTTACTCTCTGGCACACCTGAAGCGTCCTCTTCTCCTACGGTCCCTCAAGCTCCATCTGAGATTGTGGATCCACCTCTACGTCAATCCATACAAATTTGTAAGTCTACAAAGTTACCAAATTTTGCTTATTCTTGTTATTCTTCATCATTTTCTACCTTTTTAGCTTCTATTCATTGTCTCTCTGAGCCCTCCTCCTATAAAGAGGCAATTCTTGATCCTCTTTGGCAGCAAGCTATGGATGAGGAACTTTCTGTTTGCATAAGACTGGTACTTGGGATTTCGTTCCTTTACCTTCTGGTAAGAGTGTTGTTGGTTGTCGTTGGATGTATAAGATCAAGACTAATTCTGATGGGTCAATTGAGCGATACAAAGTTAGGTTGGTTGCAAAGGGATACTCTCAACAGTATGGTATGGATTATGAGGAGACATTTGCTCCTGTTGCAAAAATGAATACTATTCGTACTCTTATTGCAGTAGCTTCGGTTCGTCAGTGGCGTATCTCTCAGCTTGATGTTAAAAATGCCTTCCTGAATGGAGATCTTCAAGAAGAGGTTTATATGGCACCCCCTCCTCGTGTTTCACATGATTCTGGGTATGTTTGCAAGCTCAAGAAAGCATTGTATGGTCTCAAACAAGCACCTCATACTTGGTTTGAGAAATTTTCCGTTGTGATCTCTTCCCTTGGATTTGCTTCTAGTAGTCATGATTCTGCTCTTTTTGTTAAGAGCACTGATGCAGGTCGTATCATTCTATCTTTATATGTTGATGACATGATTATTACTGGTGATGATATTGATGGTATTTTAGTTTTGAAGACAGAGTTAGCTAGACAGTTTGAAATGAAAGATTTGGGTTCTCTACGATATTTCTTGGGTATTGAGGTAGCGTTCTTACCCAGAGGTTATCTTCTTTCTCAGTCGAAATATGTTGCAGATATTCTTGAGTGAGCAAGACTTACTGATAATAAGATTGTTGATACTCTAATTGAGATTAATGCGAAGTATTTTTCTTCTGACGATTTACCTTTGTCAGATCCTACCTTATACCGTACTATTGTTGGGAGTTTGGTATATCTCACTATTACTCGTCCAGATATTGCATATGCTGTTCATATTGTTAGTCAGTTTGTTGCTTCTCCCACTACAGTTCATTGGGCAGCTGTTCTTCGCATTTTGCAATATCTTCGGGGTACAGTCTTTCAGAGTCTGTTACTTCCATCCACCTCCTCCTTGGAGCTGCGTGCATACTCTGATGCTGATCATGGCAGTGATCCCACAGATCACAAGTCTATTACTGGTTTCTGTATCTTTTTGGGTGATTCTCTTATTTCTTAGAAAAGTAAGAAACAATCTATTGTTTCTCAATCTTCCACCGAAGCAGAATATCGTGCTATGGCATCTACTACTAAAGAGATTGTTTGGTTACATTGGTTACTTGCAGATATGGGAGTTTTTCTTTCTCATCCCACTCTTATGTATTGCGACAACCAAAGTTCTATTCAGATTGCTCACAACTCGATTTTTCATGAACGAACTAAGCACATTGAGATCGATTGTCATCTTACTCGTCATCATCTCAAGCATGACACAATTACTTTGCCCTTTGTTTCTTCTTCTTTGCAGCTTGAAGATTTTTTTACCAAGTCGCATTTTATTTCTCGGTTTCATTTTCTAGTTGGCAAACTCTCGATGCTTGTAGCTGCCACATCGTGAGTTTGAGGGGAGATGTTAAGAAATATAGAATTATTTATTATTTATTAAGGGTAGAATAGTCCTTTTTAGTTTTCTTTATTTAGCCTATATATATTCTCTTTGTATTTAGGTTAAACTATCTTTTTAGCGTTCATTCAATTAATGAAACCCTAGCCTCCTCCTTTTTCTTTTATTTTCTTTGGA